AATGTATCATCATCTTTTTCTTTCTGCTTTTCTTCTTCTTTGTGGTGAGGAAGATTGGCCCTGAACTAACATCTGTTGGCAATCTTCCTCTTTTTGCTTGAGGAAGATTGTCCCTTAGCTAAGATCTATGCCAGTCTTCCTCTATCTTTTGTACGTGGGACGCCACCACAGCATGGCTTGATTAGCAGCACATAGGTCTGTGCCAGGGATCCAAACCCATGAAAACTGGGCCACCAAAGTGGAGGGCACTAACTGAACCGCTACACCACCCGGCGGGCCCCTCTTCTTTTATTTTTTGCATTTTAAAATGTTGTTACTTTTAATTGAACATGTGTTAGCTTCCAAATCTAAGTTTATGAATGACATTGGTCACACATTTATTGCTATTTATCCAGTTTAAAAGAAAGTTTTGCCATTTTGTGAAAAAATAAAAGAGGAATACCTTCTGTTTTATTTCTTCTGTAACAAGATAACTTGACATTGGAATAGGAATTTCACTGGAAATGTGAAAGAACTTAGCAGTAAAATAGAGAAAAAATTTAAATGGTTCATTTTTGAATTATCATTTTTAGACTATCATTGTGTAAAATGAAGAGCTATATACCAAGATTTTCTTAAGTTATCCAAGAATGTAGAAGAAATTAAATAGCAGCAAATCAACTCTCTGCTCACTGACTCATTTCGTCCCCAGACATTCGCTGAGCCTCTGCTCTCTGGTGGCTCTGTGTCAGCTGTGGGGACATGAGCGTAAGCAGGGCCCCCTCACAACCATAGAATGAGAGTCTAGGAGCCGCAGTCCTAGAAGGAAAATGGTGAGGTGTCCCCTCCAGGACAAGTCAAAGAAGGTGGGAGGTGGTGCGGCCCCAGGAGAGCCCGCTCACGTGTAAACGCCCCGAGTCAGGGCAGTGTGGGGCTTCGGGAAACTGTGATTCCTTCTGTGAGAGTTGGTTGTCATGAAGCTTGGTGGTGGCAATGGCCAGACTCACAGTGTGTCTTAGGGCTGAGGGGCAAGTCTGAACTGGAAAATTTCTCTGAAGAGTTTCTTAGGGATCACAGGTAACCAGAGAGAAATCTCCTCCGGGGCAGGAAGGGAAGGTGTCCTGGGCTCTTGTTGCATTGCCCTTGAACACAGTGAAGAACGTGGTGTTTGACAGCCATCATCTGCAAGGATTTCCTGAGAAATACGGTGACATTCCTTTGAAGTGATGCCCAGAAGTCAGTGGCCTGGCACTCCTCTCCCAGGCCTGGGAGAACCAGAGCCCACAGCATAAATTAGGTGTTAATCTTAATTGAGTTTAATTGGCCAATTGTAATCAAGGGCTAGATTTTGGTGGGATGAAATGAATGGAAGTAGTGGTCTGGATGAAGAGCAGCTTGGAGGGAGGCAAGGAGTCGGTCCTTGACTCTGTTTCTAGGAGCTCTGTGTTCCATCCAGCTGGGAAGACTCCCCCACCCCCGAATTTTCACATATATCCTCTAGCTGGGAAGATCTACTGAGTTTCATTTGTGAAACATCCTTTTTGGCTGATTAGTTATTTCGTGTCCTGTTGAGCTGCATGTTCTCTAATACGACCTGGACGACAAACAAACAAAATCCCAGAGGAGAGAGTGGAAGGTCTGGAATCAAAACAATCCAAGAAATAACTGCCAGTCCTCAAAGTTCCCATGTATATCAGGCACTGTGCCAGGTGTTTGCCACACATCCCATCCGTTCCCGCAGTCCTACAAGACAGGGCTCACCAACCCACTGCCTTCGCAGAGGAAGAGCCCGAGGGTCATAGCGCTTGGTAACTTTCCCGGGATCACATGGCTAGTAAGCGACAGACAGACTAGACAACGGTCTGGATTCATCTAGAGCCCACGCTGTTGCCACTCATCCCAGCCTGCGGCCCACCTTCTGACTCCTCATTCATTTCTCTTCCCAGTTCTCCATGATGTCTCTCAGGTGACAAAATTAGGACCCTGAGGCCCAGGTAGTGAAAGCAGGCCTAAAGAAGGAAGGCAACAATGAGAATCAAATACAATTTGGGGATGCTCCGAGGCTTGTTGAGAGCTGACTCCTCTGGGTGTCGCCATTTCTGTCCAGTCCCAGCACTTTTCCACATGACAGCACCCTTCCCCTGGTCTTCCCCCGTGCGCCCTCCTGTCCAACTCTGGAACCTGGCTGGCTGACAGGGTTTTTGCTGCCGTCCTCTCTGAAGGCTGCACAGAACCTCCTGCCCTCCCCCTGACACAGAGCATTCCTACTCCCTGCAGGGGTCCCCGGGCCCCCCCATAGCTCTCCCTCGATCCCGGAGAGCCACAGCCCCTTTCATGGAAAAGGTTGCTCCAGACTGTGACATTTAGACACCTGGTCATTACTCCCTGGGAGACTTCGACACACTCGCTGTTTCCAAATGGGCTGTGAGTAGAGTGTGATGGCGCCTGTAATCTACTGGGACCTGGGATACAACCCTGAAGTTACATAGAGGGTTTGTGAAGCCATCCGGGTGCTTGCAGTAGGACTTTCACAGGCTCCTTATTTGATGCTGGGAACTGAACACATACACAGATGAAAGAGCCGGTTTAGGTGGTCAGAAGTTAAAGCCTCATCACAAGCGGTAGATGAGGAGGAATCATCCACTGAAGCCGAATTCCTACGAACCCTGGAATCCTCCTAGGAGGTGAGAAATGGTTCCCTGGTGGACATGTTAGGTCAAATTTACAAAGAAAAAAGAAGCGTTCTCCCACTGTCTCTTGTCTGGTACCTGCCGCGCAGGAAAGTCCTGGCTTTCAGTGAGCGTGAGGGCACCTGTGCAGGTGTTGAGGGAAGTTCAGTCATGTGGAGGGTAGCAGAGACTCCCAGGTTAAGATTTCACCCCTGCATCAGAAGGAAGCCTACTGAGATTATAGACGGTATCGCAAAGGCAAACCCTCCCTGCTGAGATTGACAGGATCCTCTTAAAATGAGATGTGGTTCTGTATTTGAGAGCATCTGTTGCATAGTAGGCACTTAACACTTCAGAGAATTTCAAGGCAAATGTGACCTCAGAAACTCCTCCACACAATGAACACGGTTGTCGTCATGACAAGTTATAATGGTTGCTTTGTGTTGAACATCTACTATGTAACATGACGTCCTGTTCAGTGCTCATCCATATCTTGTCTAGCTGTCTTTCCTGGACACAGGAGAAACTACATTGCCAGGCCACTTGTAGTTATGGAGGGTCATGTGACGACCCTTTGCCAGGGAGACCTGAGCAGAAACATTGTTTGTCACATCCAGGCATTTGAGAGCCGGTATGCCAGTTCCATGCTCTCTCTCTCTCAATTCACCAGTAAACATGGTGACCCCGTGTTGGGATGGTGGAACCACAAGATGGAAGCAGCCTGGATCCCTGGGTCACCTAGAGCGGAAGGCCCCTGGCAAACCACATCAGAATTTATGTGCACAACAAATACGCTTTTCTTGTGTTAGCCTTTCAAATGTCAGGGTTGGCCTGTTGTATCAACTAGCAGTGGCTTTGACACAGCTACTTTTCTATTGTGAGGTTTATATAAGTCTTTTAATTGCAAAGGTAGCAGTGAATGTGTTCCTATTGCTAAAAATTCTAAAAATACAGATAAATCACAGCATTCCCTTTTCAAAGTTTCTCCACAATCCAGCCTCCTGCTCAGAGGTCACCACAGTTAAAAGTCTAGTGTGTGTTATTTTGAAGCCATCCATGGTCTTTTCCATAGATAGATAGATATGCTATGAAAACATATTGTTTTATTCCACGTCCATAGGGTCTGATGTACATATTGATCTGCCTCTCGCCTCTGTCACTTGATAAAAAGGATGGAGGGTCTTCCCCTGGCAGCACATGCAGATCGACTTCACTTTTGAAACTGCTCCCTGGAAGCTAAAGTATGTATGTACCAGAACCAATTACATAATTTCTTCCTGCTGAATGGCTGTTTTCCCTTTGTTGTATGATTAATGAAATGAAATCAACAACTTTGAATAGGAATTCTTGGGTAGACAGGCATTTTTGCTAAGAAGATAAGCATTCTTAACATAGACATTCCGTTAGAGTGAAAAGAGAAGTGACTAGTTAACATCTATACCCAATCTTTCTCACTATTCTCTCCCCAAAATGCTATCCCGATCTGTATTCTCATAAAAATCCCAAATGATCTACCATTCTGAAATGTCAATAAGCCATTTTCCCTTACCTTTGAGAAGGAAGGATTTGTCAGAATGACCAGGAGCCAGGAAGGGGGACCAGACAGGACACCCTCAGCTAGTGAGGGGCATTGAGAGCATGCCGTGGAGAGCGAGTGCCAGCATCCAGGAGAGAGACCAAGCGCAAAACCAAGTCCAGGGAGCCCCGGGCAGGCTGGCAGTCAGGGCCCTGTGTCCAGAGTTCAGTGTAGGGGGAAAGGGACCTGAAGGAGAGAAGGTGGGGAGAGGGAGGGGTTCAGGACAAGGAACACGAGTAGGCAGGGGAAGTCTGAATCATCCTCACCAGCTGGAGGTTACAGAGTGGTCTGAGTGGGCAGGTCTACTGGATGAATGGGCCAGTGGCACCCAGACCCCCCACTAACTTAGAGTCCCCCTACCTCTCTCAGGAAGAGTACCCCTGGCTCCCTGCATCATTCGGGTGAGCTTCATCTCTTGACTACTCGAGTGGTCCAGAGCACTCTTGCCAGGGTCCCAGGGCAGGGAGCTGTCATGAAGCCTGCTGGGGGCTGGGGACTGGGGTCTTTCCCCGTGGGTGCAGTGCAGCCATA